TCCAACGTGCCAACCTCTACATTTACAAGAGCCAGATATGGCCTAAAATGGACTGTTGTCATATTTGGGCGTGATCTGCCCAGTCCTCACTTTCCAGTCTCGATAGTGTCCAAAATCATCTTCGAGTCCTTGTGGGTGACAAATTATTTACCACCCTCCAACCCCCATCTCTCTCTCTCTCTCTCTCTCTCTCTCTCTCTCAAGCGGGATGTGAAAAGACTCTCACTGCTCTATCGCTACTTTCATGGAAAGTGCTCGGACGAACTGCATTCCTTGGTTCTGCCAGTCACGGCTTGAATCCACCATACCAATTACATTATAGCAAATCACCTACCATTCCGTCCGTATTCCGTTGGTGAGAAGTTCCACTTGAACAGCTTCTTCCTGCGGAAGAGGATGTTTCCCCGATCACTACAATCTTAACCTGTTCAAGTCTAAGGTTAACTGTTATCTTCCCCTCCTATCCGCATAAACTGTCTCTTACTGTAACCCTCCATCTCGAGTGGCCCCGGGCCTTGTACAGGGTGAACCTCACCACAAAAAAATTCATTGATGTCACGAATCGCAGGATTTGTAGATTGTATTTTCTGATTTTTCTGATATAATTTTGTCTCTTGAGCAATGGCTTTCTGCATTTTCTTTCAGTAGTGTATATTAATTACGCGATAGTTAGTGGCATTACAAGTGGAATCGTCGAGGAAATTCAAATTCCGGCCAGTTCACTTTTGCACTAGCGCCATTGGGAAAGACATGGGTCCATCTTTCTTCCCTTAACTTTTGGTTAAATAGTAGGGTAGACTAGACTCTTTTGTAGTGGCAAGCAGTTTAAGAGAAAGCCAACTCTGGATTGGAAGCCGTTGACGAAGCAAAAGAAATCTATTTCACTATATTTCCCAAGAAGTTATGTGAATTCACGGATGATAAATATATATGTAGAGAGCTACGATTGCCTACGACCTGAAGAGACATGCATTACATTTGATCAGCGAATTTTTCAGATCAAAATCAAGTTAATCACTACATATAAGGTTACAGATTTATTGATTCTCTTTCGTTCGATGACGAGAAAAAGAAATAAAACGTGTGAGACGTGCGAGGAAGGTGTTTTATAGTAAGAGGGAAAAATAAGATATTAGATGAAGTGAAGGAGAAGAATTAAAGTAGAGAAAGAAGAAAGAGAGAATATTTGAGCCAAGAGAAGTAGAGGATGTCTCTTCTTCTACCGCCCAGCTATGGGTAAATAGCAGGAGACCGGTTTCTATAGCCTTGGATTGCAACTGGTCTACCGCGGGAAAAAATCTGCCTCGTCAGTCATGTATCGAAAGATACATGATCAGGGAGAAAGAGAACAAGACAAAGAATGAGAGGGTGGGTACTAAACAGAGAGGAAAGAGAGAGAGAAAATCGTTGACTTAAGAGAATTTGAGGATGTAATAAGAGAGAACATTATAGAGAATAAGAAAGTGGGTAGCAATCAAAGAAAGACAGAGGGGGGAAAAAGAGAGAAAACAGTTGAGCCGAGGGAATTAGAGAATTTTATCAAACAGAAAGAGAACATGAAAGAATGAGAAAGTGGTTACCATAAAAAAAGAGAGTGGAGGAGGAGAAAGAGATAATGAAAGGTAAGTAGGAAAGGGATAAACGAAGACGTAGAAAAAAATCGAGAGTTGGTGCTTTCGATAAAAAGATGGAAACGCGTACATAAAGAAGGGATATGAATGGAACGTATTGGGTTCACGCCAAACGGAAAGAGAGAAAAGTGAAAACAACCAATAGGACGAATAGAAACACCGTATCAATTGGAGTGCTGAGGAATGAATGAACGAATTGAATTGACTCGTTTTACACTTTATTCAAATACCCATTCAAAGGATTAACGCTTTATTCAGTCTGAATCTGTGTTCAGTTGATCACAGGACTTGTTGATACAAACATACGGTGGGTGTAATTTTGTTAACTAGGTTTATCCAGGCGAAGAAACGGCAACTATAGCATATAGGTCATAATATATGTATGAAATATATCAAATAGGTCATAATAGATATAGCTTCAAAAATAGGGTCACGTTAGTGTTTGTCACTTTGTACGGACCATTGTTTTCACCATTGTTGATACACATACTTGGCATGTTTGAAATAGCGGGTATTGATTTCTATTTCTCTTTTCCTCTCTGGTTAAGCGTCATATATTTCCAGGACGTAAGCGAGCCTGGCTTTTCGTATGATTCATTGAACTTGTAAATATACAACCGTGGCTTCGCGCAGTTTCGTCACCGAGTAGAAAGCTTCACCCCACGAATGTGTTTCGATTCCCGTTTGCGTCGAGGTGAACAAAAACTGGAAAACGCCGGGTGTACGTTTGACAACGAAACTGACAGTGAAATAACATCAAGAGATGTAAAGAAAACCCGAATCCTATTTTCAATATAATGGGTCCTTCAGTATCTGTCTATATTTCTGAGATGAGATATTATGTACACTATTTACAGTATTCGGACTATTGTCGCCATATTTATTACAACGTTTCGGCTGTTGTACGCTCCGACCTTCTTCTGGTGGTTGGAATGTCGAATTGAACCCCTTATTTCGCTCATTGGGGTAGACTGTTCTAGTTCCACGTGTCATGTTTTAATGGATGTCAGTTATTGAACTCACATTCTTTGGGTCCTGTCACTGGAATTAACTAACGCCTTTATCCGCTATTAGTTAAATCCACTGACAGGAACCAAAGAGTGTGAGTTCAATACCCGGTTAAGGCAGTGGAGAACTTGGAGAGGGGAATTAACAGAAGATAACTGACATCCATTAAACATGGCACGTGGAGCTAGCTCCAGTGAGCGAAATAAAGGGTTCAGTTCGACATTCCAACCACCTGAAGAAGGCCGGAGCGTACAACGGCCGAAACGTTGTAATAAATATGGCGACAATAGTCCGAATAATGTAAATAGTGTATAATGGGTCCATTACTCATGGATTTACCCGGCATGGTCTGCGAGATAAGTGCCATTTGGGAGATCTTTGCTGCTACTTTTGTCTTCTCTCGCGATAGAATAACGGATCAGATCCCCCGTTTGGCCAATAAGAACTATTGCTAATCTCAGATTGTAACTGTCACTACATTTTGACTTCAACTGCCACGCGTTTCGACTGTCTCTGTAACACTTAACTCTTCGACGAACAGTTCATCATCACCTAATGTCCGGCCTCTTTTTCCTGGTCCTTACGACTACTATTACTGTTCATTCTAGAATGCAGTCTGACTGTATAAGCTTACAACCGGAATTCCTTACTTTCCAGCTAAATGGCACTTAATCCAGAAGATTTCTAGATTCTACTGTCTACGCAGTCGTAAAAACGTTAATTGCAGATCAAACCGTCCATTTTACTATGCGGGTATCATCATCACAGCCAGCGACACATTATGCTTCCCACTCGACTGGGAGCAGCGATACATATCAGTTGGAAACAACATATGTCTAATGAAGACCGAAATGGAAATTTAACATTTAAGATTACAGATACTATCTTTGAAAGAACGGTGCTGTATGGCGACTATTGCTGGAGAAGTAAACTCGAAGTTGTGTATCATTTTATATCAGGCATGGGAAACCATTTCCAAACAATAGGCCGAATGCGATATAGTTCATCATTAGGCGAGCCGAACTAAATGAATTAAAAATTATTCAATGTAATTTTTCATTGAAAGTGCCACAGCCATTTTCACTACAGATCATACGCGTGAGCATATGTTTTAGAAATGGGTAAAAGTCGGCTTTCGTTCTTTGAAGATAAGATTCTTTTTATAATTAAAAGAAAATGAAATCTTGTTTATAATATTATTACTGATGAAAGGGTGATTAACAAAAGCGGCTGCGTGTGATTTCTAATTTATTCATTTGACTGGAGAAAAATATTTTTAAAAGAAAAAAATATATTCATTCTTTAGAAGAAAAAAAATTCCGGACGTTTCAAAATGTTTACACGTAAATTATTCCTTAGTAAAAATCGCCATTGTACTTAATCATTGTTTCTGCGTGTAGTTAAGTACGAGAGAGTAAGTAAGCACATAAGAACGGAACGAATAAAATTTTCATAAAAATTTTCTTCATGAAATTAGATGTACTATTCAGAAAGCCACTCTGACCGCATGTGGCCGGCGGACGACAGTTTGCCTATGACAGTTTTATAGTGTGATGTCCAAATCATGGGAAAGGGTCAATAGGAACAGGAATTTTCATCGGACAATTCAAAGATACCAGAACAGAAAAGAACAGGACATAGATATGGATGACAGAAATGGCTTGGAAGGAAGTTTTAGAAGTGTTCGTTTGAGGACGATGAGATAGGTATATCTGCAAGCTGTACATTGCCATAATTGTTCTTGAAAAATATAGCGGAGTGTTTTCCCGTTACCTATTTCACGGTTATGAATTGTTTTTTTTTTTTTAAACTAGTTACCAATCAATACTAGAGAGCGGAATCTACCCTACTATTTAATCCATTACTGGAGCAGTAAGAAGAGATATGTTAATACCTTACCCAAAGACAGTGCAAAGTGAACGCAAAGCATTTCAAATGGAAAATGAACTTTGCTTCCAGATTCCATTTTGCGCGTTGTTAAATATAAATCATTCCACGTCTCTTTGATGGGAGTAGATATCATTTCTAGTTAATCCTAAAACATCTGAAATATTTAAGAAATTAATAACGGCCAGTTTATTATGAAAATTATTGGAAAATGTTCCAATGATGAGATATAAGTAGAGGTCAAGGTCATATTTGTGAAGCACACAATGAGAAATGAACTTACAGTAACGAGGAAGACAAGAACACTTAAAGATTCACTAAACTTGATCTTTGGGTTTAATGAAGTTTTCTGCCAACGATTACAAGATCTCTCTTTACGCATTATATATCCAGACGTGAACGGACGCTGAAAGATAAAAGTAGGTAAAAATGAGATAGACATATGAACAAATTCCAGTAGAAAGACATATATGGATGTACCACATATGTGCATGTATATCGTATTGTATCCTATATCTTTCTCTCTTCACATCGATCGATCGATCTATCCTTGTCTCTTCACATCTATCTATCTATCTATCTATCTATCTATCTATCTATCTATCCTTGTCTTTTCACATTTATCATGCTATCTATCTATCCTTGTCTTTTCACATTTATCATGCTATCTATCTATCCTTGTCTTTTCACATTTATCATGCTATCTATCTATCCTTGTCTTTTCACATTTATCATGCTATCTATCTATCCTTGTCTTTTCACATTTATCATGCTATCTATCTATCCTTGTCTTTTCACATTTATCATGCTATCTATCTTCATCCTTGTCTTTTTAACATTTATCATGCTATCTATCTATCCTTGTCTTTCACATTTATCATGCTATCTATCTATCCTTGTCTTTTCATTTATCATGCTATCTATCTATCCTTGTCTTTTCACATTTATCATGCTATCTATCTATCCTTGTCTTTTCACATTTATCATGCTATCTATCTATCCTTGTCTTTTCACATTTATCATGCTATCTATCTATCCTTGTCTTTTCACATTTATCATGCTATCTATCTATCCTTGTCTTTTCACATTTATCATGCTATCTATCTATCTATCCTTGTCTTTCACATTTATCATGCTATCTATCTATCCTTGTCTTTTCACATTTATCATGCTATCTATCTATCCTTGTCTTTTCACATTTATCATGCTATCTATCTATCGTTGTCTTTTCACATTTATCATGCTATCTATCGTTGTCTTTTCACATTTATCATGCTATCTATCGTTGTCTTTTCACATTTATCATGCTATCTATCGTTGTCTTTTCACATTTATCATGCTATCTATCGTTGTCTTTTCACATTTATCATGCTATCTATCGTTGTCTTTTCACATTTATCATGCTATCTATCGTTGTCTTTTCACATTTATCATGCTATCTATCGTTGTCTTTTCACATTTATCATGCTATCTATCGTTGTCTTTTCACATTTATCATGCTATCTATCGTTGTCTTTTCACATTTATCATGCTATCTATCTATCTATCGTTGTCTTTTCACATTTATCATGCTATCTATCCTTATCTTTTCTTTCTATCATTCATCATTCTATCTATCCTTGTCTTTTCACATCTATCATGCTATCTATCTATCCTTGTCTTTTCACATCTATCATGCTATCTATCTATCCTTGTCTTTTCACATCTATCATGCTATCTATCTATCTATCCTTGTCTTTTCACATCTATCATGCTATCTATCTATCTATCCTTGTCTTTTCACATCTATCATGCTATCTATCTATCTATCTATCTATCTATCTATCTATCTATCCTTGTCTTTTCACATCTATCTTGATATCATTGTCGCTTCATTATCTATCTATCCATCCTTGTATTTTCACATCTATCATGCTACCTATCTATCTCGATCTGTTCATATCTATCTAACTGCCTAGCTAACCATGTCTTTTCTCATCTATCATTGTCTCTATCTATCTATCTATCTATCTATCTATCTATCTATCTATCTATCTATCTATCCTTGTCTCTTTACGTCTATAATTGCTTATTTTATCTCATTCTTGTGCATTGGCTGTTCATATAAACTAATGATTGAGAGTTCAGTTTTCCCTTTGTGCGCTATCAATGTAGTTATATACTGAAGTTAACTTCGTTCAACATATAACCTATTTCTACTGCTGTGAGTTCGGTTCTCGCTAGGTGTTCCACGTTTATAATCTTCTTGTGTATTACTAATCGTATGACTAATCACAGTAATTATAAATATAATAATGTTGGGGAAAAATATAATTCAGGACATCGAATACTGATTTGCATAACAGCTATTTCCAACCTGGATGACTGGCGCAACATAATATTCACACTAAGTGTTTCTTTCTATTTTTCGAGGTGGAATAACATCTCAATTCAAATGTCCGGTATAACACAAGCATTTTTGGGTACCATATGCAAATGAATCTGTTGATAAAGGAAATTGGACATAAACTTTTTTTTTAATAGTGTTCACCCCAAACAAGCCAGTAATGCCACCGAGACCCAAGGGGTTACTGGGTGAGGAACATTGCTAAGGAGTGAGAACAGAGGACGAGTAATCAGAAGGAGAGCAGATAGCAATTGACATTGAATAGCAATGGAAAGCAAGAGGAAAGGACTATGTTATTAAATAAAAACAAGAAAGAATACATGGCCGTCAACAAAAGAGACAATACAAAGTGTGAGATACGTATTAGTAGTTACAGAAATTCATCTCCCAGGGGAGTGTAGTAACAGACAACGGAAATCTTGACACAAATCTACAGGCACCTTGTAATAGCGAATTTTGGTCTTAGAGAAACTAATCAAAATATTAAGATAATATCGTTAGAAACCGAAACATATCAAAATAACATTTTTGCAAATTGTATTATGTATTTACCAATAATATCATATATATGAGCATTTTTATTTTTTTGTATTTTTCCAATTCTTAAGTGTTGTTGCACATCTAAATTAAAATTATTATTTTATCCCAAGGAAGGCGATAATGTCACTATAACGCAGGGCCTTACAGGGAGTGAAAGTGAAATGTAATGAGAATTATGAGAATGAAGATGATTGGTTTAGTTTGGTTTATTTTGTTTTACGGCGTATCAACCTCAATGGATTATTTAATGCCGACAACATTTTTTTATTGCTGGTTATATTATCTATCTATCTATCTATCTATCTATCTATCTATTTATCGTTTTGGTTTATTTTGTTTTGCGGCGTATCAACCTCAATGGGTTATTTAATGCCGACAACATTTTTTATTGCTGGTAATATTTTGTTTTGTCAAAAATCTGTTTCTGGTAATATTTTTCCTTTAAAATTGTATTGCTGGTAATAATTTTTTCAAACAATTATTGTTGGTAATAGTTAACTATTTTCCCATAGCCGTGACCCTAACAGGTGCTACCACCCCGGGTCAGGGTGGACCTGGGAACACCAGCAATTAAGAGTTGGTTCCACGCCCCTCAAAACCTCCTGATCAGAGGCCTTGTTGTTAGATGTAGTTTATCGTCTTACCCAGGACGAGAAGATGATTGGGGAAAGGACAAAAAAAGAACAATGTTCAAGAAGACAGAAGATGGCGACTGACGTTGCATTTAAAGTTTTGAAGATTGTAGTTGGCAGGGAAGCAAGAAATCGGAAGAGAGTTCTACAGGTGGGAAGTGTGGGAAAAGACTCTTAGACTAGAAGTGGCGGTTGCATCTAGCTAGTTCAACAGTAAAACGGTAAGACCTAGTTGCGAATCTAGTAGCATCCTTAAATCCATGTAGTCGGGACATCAGGGAAAAAAAGCTCATCAGAACAGTTGCCATGAAAATATTTATGGAAAAGACTGCACCATGTGATGTCTGTTATGAATAAACTTTCCAAAGATCCTGTTTTTGTTTGAATACTTACGACCATCTTGGTCATTATTGATGATAGCTTCGCGTGCGTTTAGTCTTTCTTTACAGTACTCTGTAGCATTTTCGCATTATTTAATAACATTAATATAGAATCCATGGTCGACAGCATAAGAGACAGCACAAGATGTGACTAACATATTGGGAACGTTAAACTCAAGCAAGTACAGAAATTTAATTCTTCGTGTGGTATAGTAACAGACAACGGAATATGTGACAAAAAAGATCCGAAGGAGCGAAAGATGTCTTCCAGAAAATAAGACGATGTAAAAGCTTAAGGAAATATCGTTAGAAACAGTGTTACCCTGCTACGAAATATCTAATCTCTTATATGGAAGTGAAAGCTAGACAATTTTTTCACAGATGAAAAAGAAACTTAAAACAAGAGAGATGTGAATCTATCACAAATACTAAGAAGACTATGGGAGGAGGTGAACAATCCGGAAGTCTTTAAAGGAAATCGTAACAAGCAAACTTATACTTACAATCAGAACGAGACATGAATTTGGGATACGCCTAATGAAGAGGCCGAGAGAATTTAGCCCTTACATGACATATTGAAGGCAAGTGAAGCAGCAAGTAACCTACTTGAAGAGTTTGTGTGAATGGATAACCGATAAAGGATAAAAAGAGGTGGTAAATGTCAAAAGTTACTTTGAAGAAGAAAAGGCAGAAAATTGAGGAAAGCGATGATCTCCGACGTTTTGAAAGAACATGGCATATAAAAGAAGACAAATCTTCATTTTATAGTTGCCATTCTTCGAGTTCAGACTCATTAAAACCATCTGTTGTAATTTCATTTTTTCATTCATAAGCATATCTCACCGAAGTAGTTAATGCTTACAAACGTTTTGCCGCGTGCAGAGGATGGATGATCGGGTTCATTTTCATAGATTTCCAACAATCTATGAAAATGAACCCGATATTTGGTTAATATCCGATATTTTAAAAACAATTTCATGGTTTATGTGTTTAATTTGAAAGCTAATGACTGTCGAAAATAATGTATATATTATTGAATTGCAACACACACACACACACACACAGATAGAGATAGAGATGGATGATCATTAAGAGAAAAGCGGAGAGGACAGACCAAAGAGAACGAAGGCATAATCAGAAGAGGAGCAGAAAAAAAAAAGAGTGAGAGAGAAGAGGACCAGTGAGAGTGAAAGTGATCGTTGAGAGATAAGGGGAGAGAACAGACCAAAGAAAATGACATCACAGTGAGCGTGAGTGATCGTTGAGAGATAAGAGAACAGACCAGAGGAGTAGAAGAGAGTGTATGAGTGAAGACGAACAGAAATGGGACCTCGGTGGTATTGGCGGATAGAACAGGTAAAAGTGAATGAGAGCAGAGACAAAATTGGGCAGAAAGAAAGATAGACATGAATAATGTCAAAACAATATCAAAGAAATTAAGAATCAATAAAAGAGGGCACGAAAATTCAAAGAGGACGGGCTGTTCACTTCCGGTTTTGTACACAATAGACACATTGGAGAAATACAACAAGAAATGTCTGGAAAACGAGTTAAAACAGAGAAAGCAGCGAAATCGGAGATTTAATAAATAAATAAATACAAATGGATGGAGAAAAGAAAGAAAATAATGCACGACTGGATGAATAATTTCAATAATGGTTCTAGGAACATTCGCCGAAAACATTTTTGCCGTAGGAATACTCGTCTCAGAAATTTTCGCCGTAGGAAACTTTGCCGTAAGACAATTTAACTTGTTATCAAGTATATTGTTACTTTGATTTGAGGAGATGCAGTACAAATGCAGAAAATATATATTGATATCAATGCAAGACTTCAGCAGAAAATACTTAATTACAGTCCAACGCAAAAAAAAAAAACATTATTTACGAAGCATTGCTTCGAATTTACACATATTTTAAATACTTGATTACCATCCAAACTATTCATATTTATAACGTCACTAATAACACTGTGTAGTTAGTAAAAGATGATAATAAAACGTTAGTGAGGAGAAACAATAATAAAAGAACAGGGTTCAAGAAGATAGAAGATTGATGTTGCATTTAAACTTTTTGAAGATCGTAGGTGACAGAAGATTTTATTGCATGTGATGT